CCGGCCAGCATCTGACAAGCCCTCTTGTTCACCAGTAGAACTTAATGAGAGGTAAAGGTGCTCAGAGCCTTGCAGAACAGTTCAGATAAAGTGTGGCAACTTTCTAAATAAATCATGATGGCAGTTAACATGGTGACTTCTGGGCAGGCATACTTCACCCTGTCCAGGCTTTAGCCACCTCTGGCCGATGAGCCACATAGCCGTCTCCCAGAGGTTAGTGTCCAGGCTAAAAAGCCTTTCTGGGAGAAGCAGTGGCCTAGTTCAGCTGTCATGGCTCTTCCACTGCTGGCTAAGCAGGCTAACAGTCAGCCCATGCAAAACACAAGCATTGAAACTCATCCGGTTTCCCCTTATTGGATTAAAATTCTGAAAGATTGCACACGTCAAAGATTTCATCAAGGTTTAGGACTCATATCCAGCTGGGATCAGGAAGAAATCTTCTTTTTTCAGTGCAGTTTAGCATAGCACTGTAAGGGATTTACACTTTCTTTTGGACAGCTTCCGTCCAGGTTCTCACTGCAGATGAGATACAGGCCAGCCATTGACAAACCAGCTCACTTCTTGCTACAGGTCTATTTTATTACACTCACCAAAGACAAAATCATTCTTTTTGTAATAACTTCCTCATAGAATACTTATTCTGTGTTCTGCTGTGTTTTATTTAAAGTGTCAGTCCTTTAAATGGCCCAAGGTTTTCAGTCACTTGCATGCCAAGTAATGTCTGTCATGAGCTGGCAACTGACTTACAGCCAGGGTTTCTTTCAGGCACCTGAGCCGTGCCACACTTTGTAGTATATAATGCTTAGACTGCTGGAGCTTAGGTTCATTCTCAGCTTACAAATCAATAGGTTTATGAAAGAATCTAAACATACTTTAAAAGGTCACAGCTAGGATTGGGGGAAAATCTGATTATTAAGGAAGGCTGAAAGATGAGAAGAGAAAGAAATAAAACAGGACTTCTGATCAATCAAAGCATCAACCGTTATTAGAAATTCATTACAGGGAGCACTGCGTACCCTGCACTGCCAGTTAGCCAGTATTCGCCATGGCAAGTCCGTGGCCTTAAATAAAGCTATTTAGTTTATGTACTTGAACTTTGATTTCTGTGAAAATGGCTCCTGAAGACTAATCTAACTCACTTTCACCTCCCACTGCCCAGTTGAGAATTCTTAGATTATCTCAGTGGTTTGAGAAGGTGAATAAGCTCCTAACTAACTAATACAGTCTCATGGAATTAGAGAGAGATTCCTGAATCTAACACACATCCCATCTAATTTCAAGGCATAGTTAATAAGGAATATGGTCTCTATTTCAGGGTGGAGACTGTTTTTTCTACAAGGCATACATATTTCAAGCACCAGCTGAGAGGGCACAAGGAAACCCTTTGAAAAGTGTCCTTTCTCCTCCTGCATATATGGCTTCAATCCATGTTGTTCTGGTTAGCCACACTGCAGCATAATAGCAATTAAGTGACCAAATTTCTAGATAGAAAAGGGGAAACTAATCAAGATTATACATTGTACAACCAGAGCAGCAGCACATACAGTGCAGGGGCAGTTCTACCACACCTTGCTTTTTTGCAAGCACCTTTACATTGATATTCTCTGACAGATTTTCACTATTTTGCATTCACACAAAGAGTACAACACTATAATCCTGCACGTGTCAAACACAGCTTCATGGCTTTCTCTTATATTTAGTAAAGATATCCCACACTTTATATGAGTAACATAGTAAGATTTTTTTTACTGCATTAAGGTTTGTCAGAACAACCTGTCAGCTAACATTACCTCCCAAGAGCTCTGTGATCTCCCCATAGTCTGCAATCGGCTCCAAGCCAGTGTGACTTCCTGGAAAAAGTCAAAGGAGACTCAATAAAATTAAATTTTTTTCTACCACAAGAATTTCTTTTTATGCTCCCAGAAATATGCTATTGTTCAATGCCAGTAGGTGGAAATGCTTAAGAGGAGACCTGCAATTTATAAAAGGACAACATGAGTGATTTTTCCTGCAGAAACATTTGGGGGTTTGGGTTTTTTTGGCAATCGGGGATGTTACAGGATAGAACCATGTGTTTTGTTTCACGGATAGTCCCAGTGCAACCACAAGCAGAAAATAAGTTGTCTGCATGAATTGATAAGAGGGTCATAAATAATTAATTAAATAAATAAATAAATAAATAGAGATGTGAAAAAACATCAGACTTCTCAGTAGGGCTGTAAGAGATGAGCAGTAGCTTTGTCTTCCTCTTTGTCCCCTAGAATAGGTCTTTTCTGTCTGTTGTTTCATCTAGAGGGGCACACAAAGCAGTACTGGTAAGGGAAGCAGACGGGTCCCAGTACTCCTGCCAGCAAAAGATACTGAGCAAAGAAATGTGTTTTAGTCCAACCACTATCAGTTAAACGCTATTTCCTTCCCTGCCGCCCTTTCCTGCCACTGCTGTTGGCACAGTGTCCTGGACCTTGCCAGCAAGCTGGAACCAGCTGACTCCTGGAAGTGGCTATTGAAAAGCTATTGAAAGATCTGGTTCCTCAGGGATACAAAATCCTAATAATGTGGTGTGGCTGAAGCCAGGGAGGAGTTACAGGCCACTCTCTTATTCTTTGCAGGCTGGGCATGTGCCATATGTCACCAGCTGAAAAACTCAAGTAGACCAGTTTACTCCCTCACAGATCTTTTCTTATCCAACCTCTCCAGATTTTGCAGTGTTCATACTTTCTTACATGCCAAAGGCTGAAACATTGTTATGTCTGGACTCAATGATCTAATCAAACTAGCTTTAATTAATTTAGCTCAAGCACCAAGAGTGGGAAGATGCAGGCTTCACTGTAGGCTATACAATCCCACCAGGACGCCCAGGCAATCAGCTACTCCTGCTGCCCTCCACGCTACCACAACTCCACTGAGAGTGGTACTGAGTCAGACGCCCTGGCTGTGCACAGCTGTAATCACACCTCCTAACAGCTGTGTCTGCACCTTCTCAACAGGAGACAGCCCCTAGCCTGAGGAATTCATGCTTTAAACAGACAAGGCAGAGAAACAAAATCAGAAATCACAAACAAATCTGAGAGTGGTTATGTGCAGTCCAGCAAGAATAGTAAGTGTGAAGGATATATGTCCAAAATGAAAGGCTGCTAACTGCTTTTGTTAGCAATGAAAGCTCTGCCTGGGAGGGAACAGAGGCAGAAAAGCTGAGGCTAAGCTCATAAATTGAGTGTTTGTTCCTCTTCTCTTCAGTGACTCCATGACATGTTATCGTGTCATTCTCGTAAATGTTTCAAAGAAAATTTTTTGAGCGATAGTGCTTTGCTGTAGTCCCTGCTGTTGGGAAGGGCTATACAAACATCTGCCATACACTCCTCAAATAAAATTCAACCAGAGCTTTTGTTTACATGGTTTGTCCTTAAAACTAGCACTTAGCTGCAACTTTCAGCCATAGCTGCCTTATTAAAAATGAACCTTTTATTTTAAACACAGTACATTTTGTAACAGGAAAATCAATATACAGTAAGTATACAGAGTACTGCAGACAACAGCTGTAGGACATAATCTGGTGACAGAAAGTTGAGAACAGTATTTTGGCAGTTATATGTTCAGCTAATCTTTCACTTTTTGTTTTTAATGGCACCAAGCTATAAAGATCTGAGATTTCTCCCCACCTGGTGACGCAAAGCTACACAAAATGAAGAAAGCAAGAAACCACTGTTTTCAACATTAAAGGCTATTATCTAAAAAATAAATCAGTTGTTGCTTATTTTTTCCTTTATAAGATACTGTAGGCCTTCCCAGAGCTACAATGAGTTAACAACAGTCTCAGTGATCTCACAGCCCTTAGCAAGAATATAGGAACATACTTAAGTATAAAGAGTACTTTGAAGAGATTACTAAACACTTTTCACTGCCTTCACTTTGGCTGTGGGTAAGAGTGCTCAGCTCTGTTCAAGGCTGGGATTCACAATGTACCTATGCTTAGAAAAGCTATCTAGGGAAGAAAGAGGGGAAAGAGGCACCAAATATGACTGGTACACAGAAGTATGGAACAAACATAAAGATCTTAATAGAGATTTTGATTTTGATCACCTGTTACTGTTTTGTTATTAAGAGAAAGTTTACAATTAGAAACAACCTACTCCATGTATATTATTATTCCATCATTAAATACTGAATCTATGAATAAACTAGAGCCTACCTATTTGTCCTTAGAAGGCGGGAGATGATTAGTTCTCTAAAATGGAATGTGATTCACGTTGATTACAAAATAAACTCAAAAAATTTCCTTGATGAGCAAAAGGCAAAGGGTGCTAGATCATTTTGTACTGAAATTGCTTTTTTCACCCCATCCCATCGAGTATATTTTTCTCAGATAATAAAACTGTTTTTTTAAAGGTTTCCAGTCCAGATTTATGTGGTAAATGCTTTAATTAAGATTGATTTATTCCATTTGTTTAGCTTTCAGACTTTGATACGGAAGTTTTAGCTTGAACTGCATTGCCCTCTAGCGCTGTGACGGGGCTGGCCGCAGTGATGTCACCAGCACAGGCAGTGTGAGCACAGGCAGCCAGTTCATGCAGAGCTGCCTAAATGCTGACAAACCCTTCTTGGAGACGCATGTCACAGCAGCTAGGCAGGGGCATCCTTCCAACAGAACCACAAATGCACGACGGAAAACACTAAACCTGTCTTTTATTTCAGGGACGTCATGATCGAAACAGCTGCTTTCGAGCTCCAGCCAAGACTTCTGCCTGCTCATTTCTGTTTAAAAGAGTTCGTACAAGAAATTAAGCAAGTTTGAACAGCCTGTTATTTCTGACAGGCTTCAGAGGACTTCACGCTGTGCAAGTTTTACATGCTCATAGCTGACAGCTTGCTGGGGAGATGAGTTCTCAATCTAAAACTGGCCGGGGCTTTGCAGCAACTTCTTGGGTAGAAAGATAACTTTCAAGTGAACCCAAACCATCTGCGTGTTGTGCAAGGGATCCAATCATAACTTGCTATGGAGGATGATTTTTAAGATGACTACCTACCTTGGCGATAAATACAATTCATCAATACCTGGATATCTGAAAGTGTCTGCGCTAAATAATGGCAATCTTTCTGCAAACAACTCCAATGAGACAGCAAGCAACCTGGATCCACCTGCCTTGGATATCAGTAGGGCAATAATTGTGGGGCTTATCCTAGGTGCCTTTATACTCTTTGCTATTATAGGTAATATCTTGGTAATTCTCTCTGTGGCTTGCAATAGACATTTAAGAATCCCTACAAACTATTTCATAATTAACCTTGCAATAGCAGATTTGTTGCTGAGTTTTACTGTCCTTCCATTCTCTGCTACACTGGAAATCCTTGGCTACTGGGTTTTGGGGAGGATATTTTGCGATATCTGGGCAGCAGTTGATGTGCTATGCTGTACAGCTTCTATTTTAAGTCTGTGTGCAATTTCTATAGATAGATATATAGGGGTACGTTATTCTCTCCAGTATCCAACTTTGGTAACAAGAAGAAGGGCAATTTTAGCTCTCCTAGGTGTCTGGGTCCTTTCCATGGTGATTTCTATTGGGCCTCTTTTGGGCTGGAAAGAACCAGCACCCAAGGACGATAAAGAGTGCCGTATCACTGAAGAACCATTTTATGCTTTGTTTTCTTCTTTGGGGTCATTTTACATTCCTTTAATCGTCATCCTCGTGATGTACTGTCGGGTCTACATAGTGGCAAAAAGGACTACTAAAAACCTGGAAGCTGGTGTTATGAAAGAAATGTCCAACTCCAAAGAGCTGACTTTACGGATTCATTACAGGAACATTCATGAGGACACATTAAACAGCACCAAATCCAAGGGTCACAATCCCAGGAACTCCTTAGCTTTCAAACTTTTTAAATTCTCTAGAGAAAAGAAGGCAGCCAAGACGCTGGGAATTGTGGTTGGCATGTTTATCTTGTGCTGGCTACCTTTCTTCATTGTTCTGCCACTAGGTAAGTTGGTAATCAAGGGATTGCGAGGGGTGAGGGAGGAAGAGGGTTAGTTGTTTACTACAAAAATATCATAGAAAAAAATCAGATGAATGATAAGTAGGTATCATTTTGAGCACTGCAGTGAACAGATGAAAGGAAGGGAAGTGAAAGTAATTTACTTGTGATGTTGGCTTTTTCAAAGAGTCATGCTGAAACTTTGTAAAGTGTGCAGCCTGCAGAAAGTCTGCTCATCTGGTAGTCCTTCTCAGTGATGGGGGACTGTATCTTCAGAGTTTAAATATTAAATCCCTTTTATGGTCATTGTTTGAATTCAATTAGGTTTCAGAAACATTTTTATAGGATGCTTTAACAAAAATCCTAGATAAGAACACAAAAAGAGTTTCAGCACTGAAATGTTCTTGTTTTAGTTTACTGTTAGATGTTCAGGGAGTACACTACTGTACAGTAATGACAGTACAATACTTCTGGCATTATTAGGTGTCTTAAATGGAAATTAACCTGATCTAAAGATGAGGTGCAAAACTCTCCTGAGCTTTGGGAAACTGAAAAAGTTCTAGTTCTCAGTTCAAACGTCACTGATCAAATCCCAAAAGCAAACACACAAAGGCCACTGATCCCCACAGAAAGGTTCTAATTGGCTTCAATAGGTCTTAGTTCAGGCATTTCAGGAGATTGCCATGTGAGCTTTGGGCAGCCAGTTTGTTCACTTCCAACATTAAAATATTATTAAAGGATTTGACCTAGCCTTAACACAGTGCTCTGTGTTCCCAAGTGCTTGTGAAATTTGCTTATATTGTCTTTAATACTAGCACTACCTCTGAAGTGGAATATCTCAAGACATTGAATTACTAAGCTCTCAAAAATATCTGTCCAAAATTCATTTCTCCGAGACACAGCAATCTGTCAGCCTAAATATGGAAAGAGGTGGAAAAAGAAAAGGGAGAAAAAGCCTTTATTAATGTTCTGTATTCATGTTTACTTAGTTACCCTACCAAAACATTTCTAATTGAGTGGTAAGCGAATATTTTTAGGGACTGTTGTAGAAAACTAAACTGAGTGCAGCAACTTGGTCCTGGTGAAGTGTTATAAAATTACAATTTCAGTGAATATGTAATATAGTTTAGACCAGAATCTTTACTGCAAGACACCTAGCTAAGCTATTGCAGGGAAACTTTATAATCTCTAGCTTGATGTATCACAAACTTAACAATCTTTATGAGTCAAGATCTGCATAAAGCTAATGTTAAGGATGTGAAAAATCACAAACAGAAGGAAAATTGCGAGCAAAGTTCTCTTTGGCTACTGAAGTTTAAGTTCTTGTGCAGGTTCTTAAAGAAAGTTTATACCATAGAGCAAGTTTCCAACTACTGCAAAAATACACACCTGTGGATAGAAATACCTTTTCACCATATGGTACCAGTAGTACTAGATACGTAGCTAGTAGGTCATGATCCTTTGATAAAGTAGATTCCCACCTTGATTTTGAATTATTGAAGGAACTTTGGGGAAAAAAAGCAAATGTGAATGCAGTAGAGCATATCCTTAGCTAGCAGAAGCCAGTATAGCTACTGATGCTGTTTAACAAACACACACGCTGACCAATCCATTAAAAACATTATGGTCATAGGGCAGATGCAATGTGAGAAACAATTATGTTTCTTGAAAGCGTGTCAGCTTTGCCTTTGAGAAGTTATTTCAAAACTCCTGTTTTTTGCTGGGAGGTTTAATGAGTCGTTGCTTAAGACACCAGAGTGGAGAATTTATTACTTGTCACAATACGATTTATGTCTCATATAAATTGTGTCCAAGGCATCAGTGAGGTGACAGGCTGAGAGCCTCCAGCACAGCACACTGTGTGCTGACAGAGATGCCGGGTGGGCTGAAGGGCTAACCCCACTGCTGTGGGCTCTGACTCGACACAGACTGAGTGCCTGTAACCCCCAACACGCTCACTTCAGCGCTGTGAGCACTTGGTGCCCCACAGAGCTGAGGTTCAGAAAGAGTTGGCGTTGTGGCAGTTAGAAAAGTAAAAAAATCAGCATCTTGGTATTGTAACGTAAACTGCTGGGTCTCCTGTCCTCTATCTAGTAATCCTTTCAGAGGCCCAACTCTTAACTGACAGCCTTTAGTCTAAGAAAGGGGGAGAAAACCGTATACATATTGTCCAATACAGTAGCCAAATGCATTTAAATAGCAGATACTTTCCCTTTGTTTTGCTGGCTAGGAATAATGCTGGTTTTGTTCCTTGTCCCTGATCTCTTTTTAATTTATTCAGCACACTCCAGAACCTTGTACTTTTATCTCTGTGTATCAGTGGAAAGTTAATTAATGATGTTAGGCACAACTAAAGCATTGCTCACCAAAACAGGCGGGGAAAAGACCTTTTCCTGACATGTATAACGCAGCCATTCTTAACTGGAGGAGATGGTAGAGCAGTGGAGGAAGACATCTTAAGGAGCTTGCTGTGTGCTGCTTGCTTTATAACAGAAATCTTTTGCTTTGTGTCTTGAAATGAACCCTTACAAAAAGCACACAATGGTACGAAATCAATTTCAGTGATAAGCAAACTGTAGAATCCAAAAGGTACTGATGATTTACAAAACTCTCCATAGGTGCCCTGGACTGCTTTAATCACAACCCATGTGCTCATCACTGCAGGACTGCAAACTACAATATCTTTTCTGCTACTGAGTCCAGACTAGATACTTAGCTTCACCACACTGGAAGGATAGGCTGCTTCTTAGCCTGTACTTTTCAGACCTTATATTTGCACCATTAACCCAAATCATACTCTCACATCTGCATGTTTACTTTTTTTTTTTTGCTCCCTGTTTCACTCAGTAATGCCATGACTCTGCAGAACGGCATTAGTAGAGCAGCTCTGGATTTCTGAGGATCTAACCACAAAACATTTGACAAGTCAGTAATCATTTCTGCAACACCCCAAAACCATGTCTTAACAAATGTGCTTATATGTAGAGGAGTTTCCTTGATGTTAAAAGTGTTCTCAGCTCTTCTACTAGTTTCTCAGACAAAATTACAATTCTTCCACTCTGGCATTTCAATATATTCCACAGCTACCCATTTTGATATCCCAGACAAAGGATTATTGCATCAGGTGGCAGATATATGCTGGGAACTGATGAAGTGCTGAAAGCAGGGATATTGCTTGAATAAATATTATACGACAAAGGAAAAGAAATAATATTAACATTTACAGAGTTTTTTTTCAAGCACGAATCAAAAGACTTTACAAGGAAAGCGCTCTGACAGAGCTCTGTATACAGCTACAGAGAGGAATTACAGCACTGACACTATGATGTACTGAGCATCATGAAATGATCAGCACAAAGAATGACCCACAATCTCTTTTTGCAGGACTGGACCATGCTGCCTTTAGTGTTAAGCACCTGGTGATGCAACAAAACTGGTATCAAAAAGAATAGCGATATAGAGCTATAGAATATAGCTCTGATAGCCCACTCTGATACATCAATTAACAGGAATGAGACTAAACTTCTACCTAGTAGTGAGGGGGAAACGTAAAATCTGTCATTTTGGATTCATTTTTTTAATAAAGGTATTGGCATAAAATTGGATATTTCTTTGTTGAAAGGAGGGAATTTTAATGAGTGTTACCCATTTCTGCAGGGCTCTAATCTTTAGATTAAAGGACTATTTTACTCAGCATTTTTCAGCAATGCATATTTAATACAGTCCTGATGCCTAAGAAAGGATTTGTATGAAGGGCAAGAAAAGAAACATTTATTTTAAAGAAGCAAGATATTTAGTCTTCAAAGCCAAGTCACTGAATTTATGGCACAAGAAGTTGTCTCAAAGACACATATGTCTTCATTTCATTTTTTATGCTGTACCACAAATAATTTTGAGTGGCAAGACAAATGTTTACACAGCCATAGAGCATATATGAATGTGCACAACAAGGTTATACATAGAATCATAGAATCTTTGGGTTGGAAGGGACCTTTAAAGGTCATCTAGTCCAGTCCCCCTGCAATGAGCAGGAACATCTTCAACTAGATCAGGTTGCTCAGAGCCCTGTCCAACCTGAGCTGGGATGTTTCCAGGGATGGAGCATCTACCGCCTCTCCAGGCAACCTGTGCCAGGGTTTTACCACCCTCATAGTGAAAAATTTCTTCCTTATACTTAGTCTAAATCTGCCCTCTTTTAGATTAAAACCATTACCCCTTGTCCTATCGCTACAGGCCCTGCTAAAAAGTCTGTTCCCATCTTTCTTATAAGCCCCTTTAAGTACTGGAAGGCTGCAATTATGTCTCCCTGGAGCCGCCTTTTCTCCAAGAAGAGAAAAGGCTGTTGTTCTTCTCCAGTAACAACCCCAACTCTCTCAGCCTGTCCTCACAGCAAAGGTGTTCCCTCCTTCTCAACATTTTCATGGCCCTCCTCTGGACCTACTCCAACAGGTCCATGTCTTTCCTGTGCTAAGGGCTCCAGAGCTGGACGCAGGTGGGGTTCCACCAGAGCGGAGTAGAGGGGCAGAATCACCTCCCTCGACCTGCTGGCCATGCTGCTTTGGATGCAGCCCAGGATATGGTTGGCCTTCTGGGCTGCAAGCGCACATTGTCAGCTCATGTCCAGCTTTTCATCCACCAGTACTAACTCCAGTGTAGATCAGCAGGGCATTATTCACTTCCCAGTTCAGAGCCTAACTCCCCCTGCTCCCACAAAACTTGTGATCTTATCCACTGAAGTCAGAAACAAAATTCTTGTAACTTAACTGGCAGTGGGATAAGGTCCCAAGAGCCTCATAATGAAGATACAACTGTTTTGACTATCCTTATATATTCAGCTTTTGAAACCTCTCTATGAAATAATAAAAAAGAACATTAAAATATTCTGCATGCTACAGGTCAGCCAATACAAAATTATTCTTAAAATAAAATGTTTTTCAAGTACAGTATGTAGATTTATGTTACATAAGGCCAACCTCTGCATCTCTGCACCAAGAATACCAAATTAG